GGGGCCACATCGTGAGTAGGGACTGTCGTTGGGAGTGTACTCTGGGCAGGGACCATATCCTGTTGCACAGCTGGGGTACAAACGAACATGGAAGGGCATAAAACATGGTGCTGTGGCTGTGTGCAAGCAGCTGGACTGTCTGCAGGAGGCATAGGAGCGGATGTATCCGTTTGGGACAACGGAACCGCAACAACCCGTGGAGGAGGCACAGAGAGAATTGGGGTAGACAAAGAAGCAGGCCGCTGATCCCTGGCCAAGTGGCGATGTTGTGCATGTCGTCGACGATGATACACAATAAGAGGAGTGGCGATGTTTCTAACAGAAGATGTCACTGGCAATGAAGGCAGAACAATGGGAAGAATAGAAACCGAAGAATCGGTTCTCAAACGAGACCGTGGAGGAGACGGGGGTGGCATCAGGAACGCAGCCGTCTGCGGCCAAGCACAAAAAGGGATGAAAGGGGGGTGGATTCGGCAAGATGTCGGAACATAGGACGCGAGTGTCATGCTGGGGTAGAGGAAGCTATACCAGTAAAAACTATAGCATGAGAAATTCGAGGTACAGAAGCAGAGGAAGTGGTAAAAAGTGGAACCGCAGCAGAGACAAGTGTTGTAGTAGGAACCGCAACAGAGGGCATCTGAAAAGATAATGAATATATTCTTATCTTTATCTAATTTATCTGATAATAGAATTCAAGAAAAACATACAGAACGTCAACTACTTAAGTATGTAACTATCGCCAGAAATGCTAAAGGCCCAACAGGCCAAGTCCAAACACAGATAAGCTTCAAGATGAACTGGGTATCAGTTCTGATAATCTTCTTTCCTCAAGAGGAATATTAGCTGAATCGACATCCTACAACAAGGAGAGCGTAAAAGTTGTATGCTACGTTCGGGCGGAAGTAATTGCTAATCCCTTTTTCTCATTACGCCCAATAGGATTCGAACCTATGCTAGAGATTTAGAAGATCTCTGTCCTATCCTTAAAGATAACTTTAAAAAAAAAAGTTTTTTGAGATGCAAAACATTATTAATTGATTTTCGAAAAATTATGTTATTCATTATGAATGAAACAAAGAATAGATATACTATTAATTAAAAGAAAGTTTTTATTTTAATACTAATAAATAAAAGAAATAAAACCCTCATTTTATTGAAAATTCGCAAAAGCACCATGAAGAGCAATAAAAGTCCAAAGACCTCCTGCCCATTTGAATAATTGCATAAGTATTTGTATTCATAGGTGAAAGTATTTTATTACAATATTTATTTTTTTAATCATATTAATCATATGATATCCCTCAACCAAGAAAAAAGAAAAATTACACTTTCTATTTATTCATGATTGTTTTCAAGCACCCGCTTCTGAAAGAATTTTCACTAACTGTGCTACGGTCGAACGCTTCTGACCAATTGCTTCATACACACAATACAGCTTTTCTTTCTCAGAGGCACCTTTTGCGTCCTTTTTTAGAAAATTTTCCAGAAGTTAAAGTAAGAATAAATAATATTATTGCAAAAAAAGAATTCTTAGTAAATAATGGAGGAAGATCTCATAACTTTCATTCCAAAAGATCTTAACTCATAGATTTTATTGACCCACTTATTTTCGCCTCTCAAGATATTCGGTTTTTCGATTAAAGCCTGTACAGCCATATATGTTTCAAACCATATAAGGGGATGGAGGGCAAAAGGCAACTTACCTAAGACGGAAGACTACTCCAGCAAGAGGGCACCGACCAGACCCCCTCAAAAGTCCGAAAAAACTCGGAGAGCCTTCCGCATCGGCCCACAAAAAGAAAAACTAATCTACCAAAAAGTGGCAAAAACAAACAAATACAACAGCATTGGCATTCCCGACATTGATCTCAAACTACACGAGCTCGCGTCACTGAAAAAGAGGAGGAAGAAGATAAGAGACAACTTACCTAAGACAGAAGACTTCTCCAGCAAGAATGCACCGACCCTCCCTGCTAAGGGTCCGAAAAAACTGGGAAAACCTTCCACGCCGGCCCACAAAACATACATTTCCCCCAAAGAGAACTTGTGGCCACCCGTAAACATCCAGACGGCCCATGCTCTAAAGCAGGGGGAATAATTAGGCCGTGTATAATCAACAAAAGCTACAAAACCAACAAGACATCCAACCACAAAAAGAGAGAATAGCTCGCTAGTGCTCTCTCTCTCTCTCTCTGAGCAAGCATCTCTCTCTCTCTCTCTCACACACACACATGGATGTGCGTGTGTGTGTGTGTGTGTGTGTGTGTGTGTGTGTGTGTGTGTGTGTGTGTGTGTGTGTGTGTGAGAGAGAGAGAGAGAGAGAGAGAGAGA